ATCCCACTCTGCCATGGTCCGCTCTTATGGTTTTACGACGACATTTCTCCCGAGTGAATGCCTGATCTGGCAACTGCCCTCAAATCCGCGTGCAGCGTGTCGAACCAATGTTGCTCAGGGCGTCCTTTCAGGGCGCTGTCCGAGCAAATCATGCGGGAGACCACTTTACATGTTATTTGACGTAGATGTTCGTAGGCCGGCCAATTCACGGAAGGCATTCCAATTTGGCTCAGCTTCCAGAATCGAGGCACCAAGTGCAGGAGGAGCGAACCTCATCACTTTGTGGCAACATGGGATAAAGTGTTGCAGTTAGTTGCTTGGCACTAGTGAAATTCGGCGAGAGGAGGGGGAACACGTGTCGAGCGTGGTGTACTTCAGCACATTTGAATTGTGGACGGTGAAGAAGAGGTTGGCACATGGTGTCACGTGGGCGGCATTCAAACCAGAATCCGTCTATTCAGACAGAGTGCTGCAGTGTGTATCAACTCCCACCTATTCAATTCCCTCTAGTTGTCGCCAAGACTCACAGGTCCTGAACCAGCCGGAGCAGGTGTACTTTGGTCGTCTGCGCTCTTCTAAGGATGTGGTTGGGAGGGAAAGGACCGCTATCGTCCTTCTTTCGTAAACCCTAACTCACTGACAAGCCCCGGAGTTGACGAAATAACAGTGGTTCGTCCGAGCAAGTTGCAAAGCGGACCATCTGTGTTTTGGAATGTCTCCCTTATCCAATCATTTGTTTTTCTTTGTTCTGCGGCCATTGACTTGGCGGAAGTGCTTCCGCGGCGAGCTGTTCTTGCGTCCATGGTTGACCCTCGTAGACCATGGCAATCCCAGTGACTAAGGTATGTCAGTGCCACGAACTAGTATTTTTCAGCGTTGTTCGTCTTATCGAGCAGTATCTGAAGGAAAACAATCTTATGCGAACACTCGCTGTGTTGCAGGTATTTGTGCCATTTTTTTTGCAGAGATTATTTTTTTATTATTTTGCTTTTATTTCTGAGCTAGTTGCATGTCATCTTCACATATTTTTAATCTCATTCAATTGTATTGTCAAGGCTTAGGAGATTCAATTTCAGGAGGAGACAAACATCACTCTGAACACGGTAGACAGCATCGATTCCTTTTCACATGAGATCATTAATGGACACTGGGACACTGTACTGAAAATCATTCAGCCATTAAAGCTCCCTGCTAAGAAACTGATTGACCTGTATGAGTTGGTGGGTGTATGAGTTACTTGATTTTTTTCAACTTTTTTTTTTGTAAATCAGTGGCCATCTTCTATGTGAAAACCTATCGAATTGTTTTATTACTTCTTTGTCCCATTTAATTTTTTGTTTTGCTTTTTGTTTTACCTATGTGTAAACGTTTCTCTATGTTCCCTGATTACACAGAGGTCATTATTTTATTTTCAAATTCCTAAGTGGAACCATGACTGTTTATTCACTCTTGTGGGCTGCTTGCTGTCTAATGATTTTGGTAATATTGGGTTTTCAATGCGAGTTTTTCTGGAATCTACAATGTCGTTCTGAACCTTTTCAATTTCGTTGATTAGTTGCTTTCAGTAACCAGAAGGCAATGGAATTGTCCTGGTTACACTTTTCAAACGCGGAATCTGAAGCTCGCTTCAGGCGGGCGCTAGCCCACTACGGGGGAAGGGTATTTCATAAAATCCTACAAATGTGCCCAACCGCTTCGTGAAGTCCTGTAAAATCTTGTAAAATTACGAAATGATATTAGTTTCATTTTCTATACTGTGTTACAATGTACCGGGTCCAGAGTCAAGCGTGTGTTGAGTCAGACCCGGTACAATGTAACAGTTGGCAGTGTAGTTGTAGTTGTAACGAGTCAGAGGGGGTCGTAGGTCTGTCGAAACATTTTTGGTTGTTCATTCCCCTTGTCGGTTAGAGCTGTCAGACCCCGATCGCCTTTCTTTTGGGTAGCACTGAGGAACGAAATTTTTCTCGCCAGAGTGCATATCCTGACCGAGCTGGCGAAGCACGAACGAAATAGGAGAGATCCGG